CAGTATATATGAAAGGACCATCAAAAATTTGTGGAAAAATGGAATAAAAAAAAATGGAATTTTCCCATTTATTTTTAAATCCCCCTCATATACTAAAATCTCTTTGTGCATAAGGTCGCAAATACCTAAGTTTCTATGTGCACAATTTCTGGAGAAACACAAGGAACTGTTCACAATGTATAGCTCTGGGGAGTGGAAATCAAAGTGAAGAAGATGGAGAAGGAGACATTGCCATTCATTTATTTCCCTTCTATGTCATTTGCAAGGAAACTCTGGTGGCGTAGTGATTATGAATCAGGCTGCTAATCTTACAGTCAGCATTTTGAAACTAGCAGCTGTTCCATGGGAGAAAGATGAGGCTTTCTGCTCCCATAAAGATTTACACCATCAGAAACCCTATGCAGCGTCACTATGAGTTAGAACTGACTCCATGGCACATAACCACCACCATATCATTTGCATGTTTAGCCATATGCATATATTATTTTTATAAAATTTTAAAAACACATAATTTTAAAGGTGGATGCAATAGGTTACCTGCTTGCCTTTGAGATAGCTTCCTTATTTTGAAAATGTTATTTGCCTATTCTTAATCTTAGCATTTAGTGTTTAGACAGTTGGGTTGATAGAGTAACTAGATTCTAGTTAAATCTGCACTGTAAATTTCCATAGGCTTCTATCCCCCACACAGTCTGGTTCTCTGCTGCTTAGGGAGATGTTACTATATCTCTCACGGGTACCTGGTATAACAAACAGCAATTAGAAGAGTGCAAACCAGAGCGCATTTTCTACAGCTCTTTGGTGATTCAATTCCACCAACTAGCACTTCATCTGAGAGACAAGAGCTGGTTTATGGAGGCTGTTGTTGTTAAGTAGCGTGGAGCCGATTCCAACTCATAGTGACCCTGCACAGGATTTCCAAGTCTGCAAATCTTTATGGGGGCAGAAAGCCTCATCTTTCTCCTGCGAAACAGCTGGTAGCTTAGAACTGCCGATCTTGAGGTTAGCAGCCCGATTCGTAATCACTACCGGTGAGCAATGTGTACTTTCCACACTCAGAAGTTATAATATCCTGAGTAATTGTAGTAGATGCTATTGGGTCTGAGCCACATCCTGCTGCCAGCCATGATGCCATATTCCAGCAACTGTGTGTAGGATGAGAACAAATCATGGTGGATCTATGATCTGTAGGACCACTCTTGGCCCAAACTATATGGATGCCGCCTGATGCCCCAAGCCCAGGCTCGGCTCTACCTATAGGAAACTCAGTCTAAGATAGGGACAGAAGACAAGAGAATACACAAGGGGACAACGCAGAATAAGCTAAATTGTTTAACCGGAATAAAGTGCATTGGTAAGACCACAGAGAAAATGGACCTAAGAGCTTGAATGGAAGATATGATAGACAATTATCCAAAAAGCTGGCCAACTTACTCATATGCACATAACGTTGTTGTTGTTAGGTCCCACTGAGTCAGTTCCTATGCAAAGCAACCTTGAGTGTAGCAGAACAAACCACGGTGCTGGGCTATCCTCACAGTGGTTATGATGTTAGAACCCATGCTGCTGAAAATAATATGGATATATATTTTGGGATTCAATCACAGATATCAAAAACAGCCATATTAATGCAGGATAGAGGACATGTAATTTAGTGTCAATGAATATTTAAAGAAAAAAAAAGGTTTCCAGCTTTTAATGGCATGTAACTGCAATTACATCTTCCTCATTAATTGTAATTATATGAAGAAAAACATGGCATCAGGATTAGAGGAAGATTCACTAACAACCTGCGATATGCAGATGATACAACCTTGCTTGCTAAAAGTGAAGAGGACTTAAAAACTTACTGATGAAGATCAAAGAGCACAGCCTTAGTTATGGATTACATCTCAATGTCAAGAAAACAAAAATCCTCACCACTGGCCCAATAAACAGCATTCTTATCAACGGAGAAAAGATTGAAGTTGTCAAGGACTTCATTCTTCTTGGATCAACTATCAACACTCACGGAAGCAGCAGTCAAGAAATCAAATGACGTATTGCATTAGGCAAATCTGCTGCACAAGACCTTTTCAAAGTATTGAAGAGCAAAGATGTCAGATTGAGGACTAAGGTGCACCTGACCCAAGCCATGGTATTTTCAATAACCTCATATGCATGTGAAAGTTGGACAGTGAATAAGGAAGACCATAGAAGAATTGATGCTTTTGTGTTAGGGTGTTGGAGGAGAATACTAAAAGTGCCATGGGCTGCCAAAAGAACCAATAGATCTGTTTTGGAAGAGGTGCAGCCAGAGTGCTTCTTGAAGGCCAAGATGGCCAAACTTCATCTCTCATACTTCGGACATATTGTAGGCAGGGACCAGTCACTGGAGAAGGATATCATGTTTGGTAAGGTGGAGGGTCAGAGAAAAAGAGGAAGACCCCCAACGAGATAGATTGGCCAGGTGGCATCATTGATGGACTCAAGCGTGGCAACAGTAGTGAGGTTGGCTCAGGTTCTGGCAGTGTTTTGTTCTGCTGTGCATAAGGTCACTATGAGTCAGTACCGACTCGATGGCACCTAACAACAACAACAACAACAACTGCAATTAATGAGGAAACAGTCCCATGATTGTTGCAAACTGATTGGCACCAACTTCATTTATAGAAAAGAGGGTTCGTGGACTGACAGTGTGTTAAAGATATTAGGGGTTTTTCTCTTTGGGAATATAATTTAAAAGGAACACAGAAATATTTAAGACCAAAGATAGCCAATTTAGGAAGACCAAATTGTCTAGAGCTGGAATCAATGGGATAGATGTCTTAATGAAATTTTTCATCAATAAAAATAATTTTTGTTATTGCCATCGAGGTTCTGAGGCATAACAACCCTGTATAGGGTTTCTGAGGCTAATAAATCTTGGTGGAAACAGAAATTCTCAAATTTCTCCCACAAAGCAGCTGGTGGGTTCAAACCACCAATTTTGTGGTTAGCAGTTCAGCATTTACCCTACAGAGCCACAGCATTCTATAAGATATTTAAAAGATGTTTTGTTGTTGTTGTTGTGTGCTGTCTATTTGATTCTAACTCAGTAGTGACCCTGGATAGGGTTTCTGAAGAGCAGTTGGTGGGTTTGAACTGCTGACCTTGTGGTTCATAGTCCTGTGTGGATTCTACAGTGCCAGACCAGATGTTTTAATAGTAGCTGGTGTGGTGCTGTGGGTTAATGCCTTAGATTGCAAGGTCGGTTTGAACGGCACTTAACAACAACAACAAAATATTGCTTAGTTTGTATTCTGTTGACTTATATGTATGGACATATTTCAAATTCAAGCATTATCTGAGCTGAGCAGAGAAGTAAGGGCTGAGAGTGTTGTGGGAGTGAGAATTCAGGAATGGTTCATAATAAGTTCGGTGCAATTCAGAGACAGGAATTTTGTACCTAACACTATATCTGACTACAACACACTGTCAGTTAATGCGCTGGACTGCAAAGTTGGTTTGAAATGCAAGGTCAGCAGTTCAAGTTCACTAGTCATTCCTCGGAAACTCTATACAGGTCACTATGAGTTGGAACCGACTCAACAGCACTTAACAACAACAAATAATATTAACTTTTGTTTTTCTTTCACAAAAAGTGTAGATTGAAGGAGAAGAATTTCTAGGCAGCTATGATCTTTAAAGTTGTCAGGAATTCAGGTTTCTGTTCCCTTTGATGCTCTTCATCTGGAGTATAGCATTGACTGTCCCCAAATTGCTGATTGAGCTCCAGCTATCATGGCCACATCCTTATTAGGAACACACTCAGCATTTCTCAAATGAAAAGATTGAGGAAAAAATTCAAGTCTGAACTTGAAATACTAAAGGATTCTTTGGGTAAAATATTGAATGCTACAGAAAGCATTTAAAAGCAAGATGGAAGAAATACATAGAGTCACCTGTACCAAAAAGAAATGGTTGATGCTCAACCATTTCAAGAGGGAGCAAATGATCAACAACCAATGGGAAGAAATCAGAAGCGCACTAAAGGCATTAGCAAAAAGCTCCAGGAATTGATGAAGTAAAAATAAAAACTTTTCAACAAACTCATGCAGCACTGGAGGCACTTACTCATCTATGCCAAGACACTTGGAAGACAGCTATCTGGCCTACTGATTGGAAGAGGTCCATTTTTGTGCCCATTCAATTGAGAGGTGGCCCAAAGGGATGTGGAAATCATAGAACGATATCATTAATATCACATGCAAGTAAAATTTTACTGAAGAGAATTCAGAAATGTTTGCAACAGTACATTGACA